TACCGGCAATGCGAGTACGCAAATCTTGGACAAAGTCCATCATTTCCTTCTAGCCGTGCAGAATGGCTAGGAAACGCGTTCGCACGCGATATGCCTGGTTTGGCGGCAAGAACACTTGTATAAGCTGCAGCTTCAGATACGTCCAGGAGGAAAACGCCGCCTCGACCGAAGCATCGCACTTCAGTGCTCATTTTTGCGCTCGACCCCGAGCTTGGAGATAGCTAGCGTCACGCGCTGTTGCTCGTTCTGGAGCATGGCGGATGCCAGAGCCATTTCGGCATCACTCGGAAATTCTGTCTAATATTATAATCGAAAGTCTAAACGCTAACTATGAGCGGCTTGGGCCGGGCAAACGTATCCGTCGTCGACGGTGGCGTCATGGATGCAGTCGACGACGACTTCTTCTGCTGTAGTAGATCTCGCAAAGTATTTTTTTTATTTTAAAAGGCCTCTAGGCATGCACTAATCGCTTCAGGTCCTTGCGAAGCAGATGTTGCACGCGCAAAGGGCCAAGCAGGAACAGCGTCTTTTCAGCCCGTCCTACATGCCCTGGGGCAAATAGAAGAACTGCTCCATTCTCACAGAGGATCATTCGTAACAACTCAGGTGTGGATTGACTGCAAGCGCTAACAAGTGCAGCAGGGCTACCGCAGATATTTTCCTTAGAGAAAGCTAAGCTAAGGTCGGTGACCTTCGCTTTATTCTTGGAGCCAGTACGAATGTAGCGGATCGCAATCCGCTTACTCCAGGAGATATCAAAACCTTAACCCAAGGCAAATAAACTCTTCCAATCAAAATTGTAAAGTGCATTTAATTTGAGGTAAAGCCGACGGCTATACCTATATCAAAAGGTTTTCCAATTAAAATCCTAAAAATAAACTAAAACGCACGACTTCTGGCAGTGCAGCAACGTACTGACTTCTTGTGAAGGTGTAGCTTCATCATTGCATGATTACACCGTCTTTTAAAATCCACACGCCTTGTATGATCGCGCCATCTTGTGTGACCTACCCCTTCAAACTAGGATTCCTGTATCCTCGTTACATTTCTTTCCCACAACAGCCACTATTTTTGCTTTTCACGGCTTCATTGGTGGCATTTGAGCCCAATATCGCGTCCGAAAGAGTCTACTATCTTCCGCAGAATATAATACCGTGGCGCTGTAACTTCAATCGGTCCAAAACTCGTTCGAAGAACACAACGGCTTTGACTCTCCTTCAAGTACCTCCTTGTTCTTGTGTCACTGCGCAAACGCCAAGTTATAGTCTTCGTTCACTGCCGCGCACTTTCAGGAGCCTTTGAGTATACTCTTCGTATTCCACCACATGCAATATCAAGGGAATGCACGGGAAATTCTTTAAATCGACGGCCATAGATAAAAAAATACCTTACGCCATATCATATCGCACAGTTCCGTACCTCATAACCCATAGATCCATTCACAAGGTCAATGTCTAACAATCGCGTACAAACTCGATGCGAACGTACCACACACTTTATCTGACATTATTTAGAAGCAAAACTGCATCTTCACTTACCATATTACAGAGAATCTTTATTAACATCTATTTATATTCAGCTTCTATCATCAGACTATTTCGCCATAAGTAGTCCCCAATACACGATACGAATGGCTAATTCTGATTGTGTTCCAACGTCACCGTAATTCGCCTTAAAGATATGTAAACGGCTTCGTATTTATTCGTGCGTCATACAGAACGCAAAAAGGTTAGTCCTGCGCGTAAAAGATCTGGATGTTGCTGTGTCAAATATACTAGACGATCATCGACCCGCTTGAATCCTTGATTTTTTACTCTTCAAACTGTTAATTTTCTTTAAGATACCTGCAATCGAAATCGAGTCATTGCAACGTGATCACCACAATTTGCGAGTTTTTGACTGCGTCCAAGTGTGCATTCACAACGTGACTTTGCATAGATCAGGATATGCTGCAGCCTTTGCATGACACTCTTGGCGAGAACATCACACCCGCAACATCGTTCTTCGACAAACTGTTCGACTTACTCCCAGCACTCCCACTCGCCGTTATTGCTTGTTGATCTTTGGTAATGTCTTGGACTTGACATCCTCCGATCCGAGTATAAACGCATACAATTTGGTTCCGAGGGCTTTTGACAGCATATCTACAAGCCAGCGCTTCATGTCAATAAAATCGATCTTCAGTATTTCTTTTTGCACATTATCGTGTACCTTATGTCCACATATTTCGTTTGAGCATGGTCACCTGCATTGTTGGCTTATGCTATCGCTCCTTAGTTGACTTCCCAAACTATTGTTCCTTTCACTTGCTTGTGAATTTTTTCAAGCATTGGACGCGTTCAATGGACCTTTTTGCGCAAAGGCTGGGAGCCATATATTTAGCCTTTGCCAAGTTGAGTTCAACATTTCGAAGGTACATTAACTTGCACACCACTGACGCACCTGCAGTCATGATCATAACTCATGAGATTGAACGTCTGTCATCAGACTGCACCAATCAACTTCTGAATTTGCCTCCATCTCAATTTTACCACTGCCTTGGTACACGATACCGGTTAAGCGTGTACTCTTTATGTAGCGTAGCACGCAATTTTAATGTTCCACTCTTAGGTTCTCCAGGAAATACGACAGCTGTGATATCTCGTATGCAACATCCAGTTGAGTATATGTAGTTTTATACAGCAGACATCCAATTTAGAATTGATGCGGTTTCGAGTGCATCGCCGAACGTTTCTCTTCCGTTGTAGGGGACTGCGGTAACGTAGTCTTTAATCCTGATCCACACGAATTGCAGACAGGCTTGAAACTTGTTGACCGAGCTCCCTTACCACGTCGTCTGCTTTTATAAGTGTTTTGTCTGACCTGTCATAGTTAAGCTCAACGCCAAAATAAAGTCTGCCTTTCCCAGCTAAGGTATCGCGCATGTGTCCCTGAGCACTTCTTTGAACTGATTGAACTTTCTGCTTGTTTGAGCTGCGAAAATCATGTCATGCAAATAGTTCAATGTAAATAAAATCTTTCACGGCAGGCATTTCCACGATAGTTCTGACCATGTCCACCACTTCATTTTGCTAATTGATATACGGTGAGGAACGTTTATGGGCGATTTTGATCCGACGACAAATGTCTACCATAGTCTTGTTCACATAATCTTTTTCGAAGTTGGATCGCAAGCATTTGAAATGAGCACCCCATTTTCGTACACGGTCTTAAATTGCAAGACCTTGCACGATATTGTTTTTGATCTTGATCAACAAAATTGCAACACATCTTGATACATCATCAGTGAGAAGTAAAATATTTTTTTTACCCTTCTTTGACGAAGTTCGCATTGAACCCATTGTATCTGTGAACACGCGCTCCAGAACACGTGTCTTCTTTGTCATCGATCGTGATAAAAACGCCTTTACGGTCTGATTTTATTTAACTACCTGGGACACAAAAACACTGTGTTCCGGGGATTTTGTGTGATTTCACCACTTGTTTAATTATCACCTTTGTAAGGGTACACCATCTTGTGCTACCCGCCCTTTTATACAAAGTTATGTGTAACTCCTTTACACTCTGGGTAAATGTAACCCCGTTACAGCTGAGAAGTACCACCAGCTGCCGCAACTCGTCAACTTGCCCCCCAATTGGCTGAAGATCATTAACTCACTCGTCAAAATAGTCTAGATGCTCGGCCATGCTAGAATCACTTTCCATCTTGAGTTCTTGAAGTCGTCGCTTCATCGTCACGCGATTGTGCAGTGTCAAGCGGACGTAAGAACCACGTAGCGATGCATATGCCCCTGATGCTGAATCTTAACGCCTTTGCGCAATCACACCCAATGCCTTGGTGTCAATTATTAGCCACCTCTTTGTAATATCTCGACGACCATGACATGCCTCAAAAACGCTTCCTTGCCAGTGTCGTTCCCAATGGTTCTCTAAGTGCTAGTATGTACCATCACCCAGCGGGCCTCTGTGTGCTTGTTTGCTATCGTGGTTGTAATAGTAGAAAGCTTCGCTGCGACTGTAAAATTGTTGAAAGGATAGTAAACCCGAAGTGAAAAGTTTATTTTGCTCCTATGTCTTCTCGTTCAAACAATGCCAGTAAACCAAGGGTGTGGGTACTGGCTAGATATTCCACATTGAACCCGAACCGTCACGAAATAAACCTTGTACCTTGAAGGATTTGAACCCTCCATCATCAATGTGGGGACACCACGCGTTAAGCATTAGGCTAATCTGAGTTCTTTGCTGTACAAACTACTTGTGCATGCTCAACATTTTGACAGAGTAAGGGTAATGAACAAGATAGTCCGAGACGAAGGAATTGCTCCCGAAGGTTTATAAATGCGATTATGTATTACCATGAAAACAGACTGCATGTTTAGGATTCGTTGAGACCAATCAATCACTTCAAATCTTCTTCCTCCGACGGATTCCTTCAACTTTCTTCTCTGCATCGTTACCCCAAAAGGTTTGAGCCCAACCGGAGCCAACCGCGATGTGGGTGTTCAACGCTCGCATGAAGTGCGAAGAAGGGATTCTTTTAGCATATTGGCGCTACGAAGGCCCGAATGAAGACGGCGGGAGTGTATATGAATAAAAAGTCAACGATATGGAGCCTTCGCGACTGTGTGCACGATTATTAGTCCAACTTTGCTTTCAATGGTGCGCACTACAAAGTCGACTGCTTAAGCTCGTGAATTTCTGAGGAATTTCTCCCTCCGACGCAGCATTCACAAACAAATCCAGTCAACGGCTGCATGAGTTTAAGATGCAGGACTGTGTGAATGTGATAGACCACTTTTTTCAGCTTGATAAGTTATGCAATTCAATGCAAGCCATCGCAGTAGAAGCGTCGCACGACGAGCGACTCGTGATTCTCCTTGGAAGCTTGTCGGAAGATACGATCACATCATCAGGATCATCACAAATATGAGCGACATGGATCTGTTCCCAGCCGAGAAAATCTCTCGTCGTGTATACGGACACATTACTCGAGAGGAGAGCAGCAAAATTGATCTGAATATACGCGTGAGTTTAAGAACAAGAGTTCCCGACCAAAGTTTAGAGGGGAAAATTACTGGAAAATACACTTTCGGCCTGAAGTATAGGCACAAGTAACAAGACTGCTGGATGAACCCAGAAAACAAGACATCATGCAGCAGGGAGCAAGCGTTCACGGTATCGGAACACTGTTTAGAAGTTGGGTGCCAGACAGTGGTGCAAGCAACCACATGTGTCCGTAACCAGACGAATTTACGGAATTTCTCCCATTCGACCAGTCAATCGCCATTACATTTGGCAATGGTGGCAAGTTTTTTTACGTTTGGAAACAAGACAATTCGAGTAGTTTTGATGAACAATAAACCACTCCGGATCGAAAGTGTGCTGTACGCTCCGGATTTAAATCGAAGACTTCTGTCGAGTTCTGCTTTGTCAGCAAAAGGACTAAACATCAAGTTCGATATTGCATTGCGCGAGATCAAGAATGGTCAAGAGTTGTGACTTAAGTAACATTAAACGTTAAACTTGTTTGTGCTGAAGTGTGTTTCACCGGAGTCAGTAACCATCACTGAATAGGCTGGTTAGACACCAAACTAGTGAGTCCTAGTGTGTGGCATGCCTGGTCGAAACGTTTGCCGCTGAAAACCTTTAGAAGGATATGTCGACGTATTCAAGATGAAGGATCCCTGTGATTACGACAATGAAGATGACGACGACATATGTGAAGGATGTGTGACGGAAGAGCCTTCATTAAAACTATTCCAAACTTAAAATACGGAGAAGTGAACACCAACTCAATGCTGCAAGTCACTCACAGCGACGGTATTGGTCCAATGGAGACTAATCGAAAGGAAAGACAAGGTTCGTCGAGAGATTTTTCAACGATATTTGGTGGCGTACTACATCGCCCACAAGTCTGAAGTTCTGGATCGATTTATAAAGTAAAGTCAATTATGAAAAACCAATTAAAATCCAAGATGAAGTGTAGTCGTACCGATAATGGTGGCAAATATATTAGTAAGCAGATTAATGAAGTGTGTCGAAAGACTGGTCCAGCTTTGTTTATCAGGCTACGGTTCCAAACCCGCCTCACGAAAACGGAATGGCGGGTTCGATGAACAGAACAACTACTAAGCGTGCAAGATTGATGATCAGCCACATGCAAATGTAGAAGAAATTATGGGCTGAAGCTCTAAACACGCCCGTCGATGTGATTAACCGAGTTCCGTTTGCAACTCATCCAAAGTTGACTCCATTCGAAATATGAATCTGGAAAGACCGATTTCTCAAATATTCGTGGTTTCGAAGCTCAAGGCTACGCAAACATTGACGAGGCAAGCGTGCGAAACAGGACAACATAGTATTTTGATACATGTTCTTGGACATCCAAACGTAGTGAAAGGTTTTCGAGTGTCGAGCTTCGACTCCAAGCAAGGAGTGTATTCGCTCTGTCTTTTTCAACGAACAACCGAAATCCAAGTATAGGTAAGTGGTTGGTAAAAAATAATTTTCCAACATGTGCGGTTCGACAGAGATGATGAAACAGCAGAACCAGCTAGATCTACTCGAAATAATGTCGAACCAATGTGGTCGATCAGACTGGAAGCGACCCGAACAACATGCCTTCGAGCGGTGGAGCTGCCTCCATAATAACGATGATTCAAGTTCCAAGGTATCAAAACCATGGTTCCGACCCATTATTTGATATTGAGGACATCTTCATGAATTCGGATGAAGATGAAGTGGAGCCGAGTCGGGCAGTTTCACCCAGGAGGAAATTGGGAGCGATCAATGATTTGTCAATATTTGGACATATCACTCCGATTGCGCTACCGCCACGTCAACACTCCCAAGCATTGGTTCCTGTTACAAGGTCTGAAAGGATCACCCCTTCAATAAGACAACAACCGAGAGAACGTTCACTAATGCATATTCGCATCGGAATCAAACAAGAAATTCCTGCACTTAAACTCCATCGATTTACCGAGATGCTTCTTCAAGTCCCCACAATCAAAAATGTGGATTGAAGCCATCAAAACCGATTTAGAAGCACTTGATGAAAAAGATCACGATCTGCAGTCAGACAGGTATCCAGTCAGAAATGTTATCGACGTCAAATGGGTCTTCACGATTCCGCGCAACGAAATCGTGAAATCGAGCGGTTCAAGGCTTGATTTGTAGCGTTTGGTTATCGTCAAACCTACTAAGTGGATTATTCGGAGACGTTATCTCCGGTCGCGAACATGCACAAGATTCGTAAATTTTTGGCATTTCGTTGCCATTTGGGTCTGACCATTCACCGATATGATGTCTATTCTGCATTTTTGAGCGGATTTCTGGAAAGCGATGCTTACTTCATCACATTTTTAAGCAAGCCCGAATCAAGTTTTAAAGCAGAATCAAAGTCTATACGGATTAAAACAAGCTGCGGTGACATGTTTAGAGCCCATCTTCAGTGTGTTCGTGAAGACGGGTATCACACCATGCGTTTTGGATTCGTGCAATTTTGTCCGCCACGATAACAACTCGTGGTCTAAATGACTATGTACGTCGACGATATGATCATCGGAGCGAAGTCAGTCGGATCAATCGAAAATGTTGGTGATGAATTTTCAAAATACAAGCTGATAATTGTGGACAACGTACGCTTTAGTCTCGGTGTCAAAGTCGTGTACAGATAGCTTAAGAAGCAGCTTAAAATCAGCCAAAGTCCATGCATTGCAAAAATGGCCAAGAAATTTAATCAAGTCAACGGATATTTTTTTCACAACCCAAGGGTCGTAGGCCAAGGCCTCACCAAGTGTGAGGAAAAGAATCCAAGATTGGAGAATCACCCGTATCGTTTACTCGTTGGATCACTTCTGTATGTAGCAACCGGAACAGTACCCGACATTGCATTCGCGGTTTGCCAGCTGAGTCGACATTTGGGGCAACCAAGTGAAGAGCACTGGACTACGGCAATTCGCGTTTTTTATTAGCTTAAGTCAACTGAGACAAAAGGAATATGCTATCAAGGCAATTACAGCAATCTCGAACTGAGCGCATACAGTCATGCCGACTGGGCAAACAACCAGGATAATCGACGAACGACGTCCAGTGTCATGATCATGGCTTACAATATCCAGTTATCTTCAAGTCAAAGCCCCAAAACAGCGTATCACTTTGCACAGCCAACACCGAATGTATGGCACTTTATGCGCTCAAGAAGGAATGAGGATGTGGAGATCATTGTTAGTGATGAAGGTCAAGGTCAAGTGTCCAGTGATTGTGCATTGTGACAGACAGAGCGCGATCACCAATGCGAGTAACAACGAATATTAGAGCCGAGCCAATTTTTTCGACGTCTGGTATCATTTCGTCCGAGAACAAGACAAAATAGATATCAACCTTCAGTATTGCGGGACAAAGGTGACTTCCTGACTAAGCCAATTCCTACAGAGAAATTTAAACCTCTAATGGACCAACATTGGAAAACTTTCGTCCAGGGGTTGTCGACGAAAAGTCACTCAGTGGTTCAGGTTTAGGTAATGACTAAGATAGTTCAAGACGAAGAAAATTTTCTCGAAGGTAACAAAGGTTACTACGATTTGAAGTTACCTAAAAAACGGTTTGCATTTTTTGGATTCGTTGAGACAAATCAATCACTTTCAAATTCCCTTTCTCAGACATACTCCTCGAACTTCTCCTCTACCTCGCACCTCAAAAAAATAGACATATTCCCGCGACATTGTTTTTCAACAGAATTGAGCGGCGTAATCGAAACATTTACTGATGTATTACTTCGTTAGTTTGTTGTGATTTTTACGTTCTTTAAGTTCAGCGTTGGCATCTTAATTGGCATTAGTTTCAGCGTGGGCATCGTCATCACTAATCACATTTTTTCTATATTATCAAGAACATCTTCAACCATACACCATTCGTGATAGGGATGTTACCGATACCATCGATAATTATAAAAGTCTTTATCTACATCAATAACTGAAGGCTTTGCTCCGACGCTAGTATCAAGAGCACCGGTTTTAGTTCTGGAGTAGTCCCACGTAGCGCTTTCATACCTTCGCTTCGGCTTCACGAACTCTACAATGAGGTCTGTCAGTTAGCTCCTATTGATGTTGCTCTCTCTGATTCTTTGCATGCTCACGATCATCTACTAAACAGTGAAGACTCATCTCTATATCAAATCATATATTTAAAAGAAAGTGAGATAACATATACATGAGCAAGCCTCCGCAATTAGGCATTCTAAAAATCGACGCCTCGAATGCCGTTTTTATTTTCGCGGGATGCCTTATTTCTAAAATTTACAAAAGCTGTTTCTTGTAATTCGCAGTCCGCGTAAGGTCCGTCGGCTGTGAAATCGACTTCATGCCCTCATTCTTAATTGACAGTAAGCCTATAGCAATTGAGGATGTTGCCGAACGGCATTTGCGAGGTAAACAATCACGCAAAGGGTGTTTTAGTTCGCGAATGAAACCGATTTATATGATACATTTGACGGAATACGGACTTCTTATACCTGCCCGAGACCCGATACCAGGAGTCGTTGTAGCCGTCAGGTGTCATTCCTGTGTTGTCTAGGGTGAGAGAACAATCTAAGAATGCATATACATCCTGGACTATTGAGGGGCCACCAGTTAGAGTCGAAAATCATTGTCACCACCACGAAATCAACCACCCCATCAAATATCAGAAATATCGCATGCTCTTACCTCAACGGATGAACACGTTCTTTTAAATATCAGCTAGCATGATGTATGGCAACAAGATCGATACTTGTGAGGAGCTGCAATTGCAGCCGTTACATTTTACGATTCACAAACTTCGATGCTAGCATTGGATAGCTTCTTCCGCAGAGTAGAGAAGAAGACACCGAGCTGTTTGCAGCAAATTGTCTTTCTATACACTCATTAAAACAAAGACAGCCTTCATCTGAGGTGAAAATTAATCAAGTTAAAAAGTTTACATTAGCTTTTATTTTTGTGAGCCAATGGCCTCTGAAGCGGTACAAACAGCAAAAAAAGGTTTATAACTGGGCACTGCAATGAATTTAAAGCTGCGAAGTATGCACGAGGTGTATGCACTGCTTCACTGTGCAGATGTCTGCATGGATCTTGTGCTGAGACTAGTGTGCAT